CGGTTTGAAACCAGAAAGCAGGGGTTTAACAAATAAACAGTCAGATACCAGGGGTGAGACACAGCTGCCCATTTCCAGAAGGGTCCGTGCATGAGAGGGAAAGGACAGAAGCAGCAGCTGCCTTCTGGAGCCTCAGCAAGCCCGCACAGACCACTAGGGCAGTGTGGACTGAGACCTTGGGTCAAGGGTGACATGATCATGGGAAGGGCTCACGGCTGGGAGTGAGGCTCTTTGCCTCTCATCCCTATTCTGCTATCAACTCATGAGAGACGTGAGCAACCTGCTCTCCTGCTCATCTGTAAACAAAGGGGTCAGATGCTCCGAGTCCTTTTAGAGCTAAAATCTGAGGGTCTACACAGGAGTTTGGAAGCTCAGAGGAACATCACAGGACACTCTGGCCCTACAATGATCCTAGAAGCCCTCCCATGTGTTGAGCACTCACTGTGCGTCGGCCACGCCCTATGCGTCCAGTCCTTGTGTCCTTCCCATACACAGCCTGGCCAGGAAAGCGGCATTAGGCCAGCGGGAAGGTGGGGATATAGCATTCAGAGGATGGAGATGGCCCTGTTGGAACCCAGTTCCCTCTAACTCCCACATCCACGTTCTTTCTGCCAATCAGTTTGGAACAACCTAACCTGCGTCCTTCCCATCTACACAGGGATTGGCACTGGGCTATGTCAGCCATAAGAAAGTCCATTCCAGGGTCCACACACACATGCCGAGTTGGCCAGATGCCCCTTCTGGAGGCAGCGGGGACAGCTCAGATCACCCTGATCTTAGGCAGGACACAGTCTCTGGATCCAGCCAGGCCGGGGTGAGTACAGGGTGACCATGGAAGAGGTATTCTGCTTTCTGATTAAAGGAGACAGTGGCCTTGTCGCCAAAAGCTGCAATTCCCAAATCCAGGTCCGTGATCAGTTTCACGGGTCAACAGGAATTTAGAAATACAAATTTTTTTCAAGGACTGTCCTCTAGTCTGAGATAACACCCACTCTACTTTTCTGATACTAAAGTATCTTTTCTTTTATGAAACACCAACCATATTAGAGGGTAGGTGGGGTTTTTTCATTTTTGCTTCTTTCTTTTCCTTTCTTTCTTTAAAATGGGCACATTTAACAAGGTTACACATTGGCAACCCTAGCAAGGTCCTTCCCTTTTTTTAAACTGGTCTGTGAAATCCCAACTGGGATTTAAGTCGCTTTTAGTTCTTTCTTTGTTCTCTAACAGCCCTTCAAGGAGTCCATGATTAGATGACCTCTAAGATGAGTGTCCTTATAAGAAGAGATACATGAGAGCCCCACCCTCCCTCTCTCCCTCCCTCCCTTCCCCCCTCTCTGTCCACACACATGCGCCAAAGAAAGGCCATGTGAGGACACAGTGAGATGGAAGCTGTGTGAGAGCCAGGACGAGAGCCCTCACCAGAAATCAAATCAACCAGAACCTTGATCTTGGACTTTCCAGCCTCCAGAACTGTGAGAAAACAAATTTCTGTTGTTTAAACCATGCAAGTCTGTGGTATTTTGTTATGCCAGCCCAAACCGACTAATATACTTGTGATAACCTTTCTTTCTATGCTTCCGTCTCTCCATCTGTAAACGTGAGAGTGTAACATTCTATGAGGCCAATATTACCCTAATACCAACCAAAGATGTCTTTAAAAAAAAGCTACAGATCAATATCTCTTATGAGACTGACACAAAAATCCTCAACAAACCAAATGCAGAAATATATAAAGATCATTCATCATGACCAAATAGGATTTATCCCCGAAATGGAAGATTAGTTTAAAATCCAAAAATCAATTAACATAATATACTATACTCATAAAGGGCAAAACCCATTTAATCATCCCAATAGACGCAGAGAAAGCATTTCACAATATTTAACATGAAAAAGAAAAAAAAAAAAGAAAAAACGCTTGATAAACTAGGAATGGAAGGGAACTTCCCCAACATGACAAAGGGTTATCCATGAAAACCCACAACTAGTGTCATACTTAATAGTGAAAGCCTGAAAGCTTCCCCTCTCAGATCAGGAAAGAGACAAAGATGTCTGCTCTCGATACTTCTATTCAGCACTGCACTGGAAGATCTTGCCAGGGCAATTAGACAAAATTAAATAAAAGGCATCTGGATTGGAAAGGAAGAAGTAAAACTATTTCTATTTGCGGATGACATTATCTTGCATGTAGAAAATTCTAAGAAATTAACTAAAACAAAAAAGTATTAAAGCTAATAAACAAGTTTAGCAAGGTTGCAAGATAGAATCTCAATATACAAATACCAATTGCATTTCTATACAGTAGCACTGAACAAGCTACAAAGTGAAAAAAGGAAATCAACTCCATTTATAATACCATACCTATAATAAAATAGGAATAAATTTAACAAAAGAAGTGCAAAGCTTATACTCCGGAAACTATAAAAACATCATGTAAGAAATTAAAGAAGACCCAAATAAATGGAAAGACATGATGCTCATCGATCAGAATAGTGACTCTTGTTAAGAAGGCAATACTCCCCCAGTTTATTTACACAAAGCAACCCCTATAAAATCTCAGCTGGCGTCTCTGCAGAAATTGACAAGTGTGGTACCCAACCAACACCATCCGCATCATCTAGGAGATCCAGACATCCAGAACCTACAGCATCAAAAACTCAGGAGTAGGGCTCAGCAACATGCCTTTTACCAAACCTCCAGGAGGACCCCTGCTTAAAGCAGAAGATGTGGGTCTCAACCTGACTGGACATTACCTAGAGAACTTAAAAAAAAAAAAAAGACCCTCAGTCTCATAAAAAATAAAAAGACCCATGCCCTGGCCCCCCAGCAGACCAACTAAATCAGACTCTCTGGGGATCAGACATGGGTATGTTTGAAAGCTCCCAGGTGAATCTATGAGTGAGAAGGATTGGCTTAGAGGGTGTCTCAGGCACCTCCCTCTGCTCTTCAGCCCCTTTGAGAGTTTGGCCTAAGCGCTGCTCACTGGGGCCACCTGGTGGCCACACTGGGGAATGACTCTCCATCTTGCTGCCGCACCACCAGCCTGGATCTCCATCTTCCCACTGCAGAGGTCAGCACCACCCTGGCCTTGGGAATGGGGGTGGTAGGGAGAGGGTGAGAGCCCTTCACTGGCTCTGCTTCCTCCCTCCTCATTAAAACACTCCACACCCCAAAGGCAGCCAGAACACAAACTGTTAAACATAGCCCCCAACAGAGCACCCTTCCGTCCTCACTGCCAATGGAGTAGAGCCAACCTACCCATCCAACCTCATCTCTGACAGCTCCCGACACAACTGTTTTTGTGGGCACCAAAGCACCTTCACTGCCTCTAACTCACTTTACACTTTTCAGCCTCCTGGCCTTTGCCCATGCAGTCCCCCTGCCTGAAGGGCCTTCCCCAGCTCTCACTACACTGGGGGTGTTCAAGGTCAGCTCTGCGGGACCTCTCCTCTCTCCCCACCTCATGCCCCCTTAGTGCTCCCTGCTCCACCCTCCGTGTGCCTCACAATGGACATCCATGGCTGCAGAGCTCAGAGGAGGGGAGGGCCCATCAGCTGTGGGGGTGGGGGTGGGGTGGGATACCACTTAAGAGAGAGCAGGCTGGAAGGACGGGGATGTGGGGAGGACTCTGACAGAGTGTGGCCGTGGGATGGGGGACCTATGATGCTTGGAAGTAGGGCCAGGCATCCCACCCCTTTTCAACTACTTGGGTCTCCAGCTACAAAGAACTGGAAGCCTCAGTTCTCTGCCCACTCAGGATCCTCCGAAAGCGGGAGCTTAGTCTCGTAGTTCATTGCTGCCACCTGGTGGCCGCATATGAGACCACTAGGAGTGGAACCTAAAAGAAACTCCAAAGGGAATACAATATAGCTGCTGGCCCTGGGGAAAAACTAGTCCATCTTCCAAAGTTCAGCAAAGTCTGTTTTCTGAAACTCCTCAACCGCCTCCCCACCCCACATTTGGCAGCCCTTCCATATGACCTCTGACCTTGGGTAGAGCCTGACCTCAGGGGCCCTGCCTCCAGCCAAGCACCCACCCTTTGCCCCAGTCATGGTCTGATCCATGACCCTGAGCAAAGGTTGGCCTGGACCAGTCATTTCACTAAGATGTGCCTGGGTGCAGGCTGAGCATGGGGCTGGCTTGGGGCAGCCCCCTTCTCTGCAGGGGCCACAGGCAGAAGCTGTCTTTGGGAATTGCTGGCCAGCAACAGAAAACACAAGGTTGGCACCCATGGGGGTAATTCACTCATTTCAGGCACAGCCTTCTTAAAGACTCCCCTTCCCCCACAGCTGCCCCTCCCCGCTCCAGCACCCTCCTCTGCCCCAGCAGCCAACCAAATTCACTTGACCAGAAAAGAACAAAATTAGGCGGGTCCGCGTGCTCCACACAGAGCCCAGAGGCCACAAAGCCCAATGCCCAGGGATGCCTGGCAGATTACATGACTGGGCCAGGAGGGCCACGTGTAACAGTGCTGGACACTATGGCCAACTGGGGGGCACATGTTTTTCTAGAAGGCTAAAAATCTGGATTTTTTACACAAAATCTGGACGTTTGTGGAAACCTCTGATTTTTATAATGTCCAGTCCCTCAGCAGCATCGGCTGTTAAACCACTGCCCTGCTGCCCTGCTGATAATTAAACAGCCACTCCCCAGAACCGCAGAGTGACCCCATGTATCACCTGACCCCTGCCGAGGGCGCCCATGACAGAAACCGGAGGGTTCATACCTGGCACCACAGGGATCTAGGACAGGGCTTTGTTCTGATTGGCCACATCCTTGACGGGTCCCGGGACCAAAGCAGCTGTCAAATTCTCTGAATATCCCTCCCTACATACCCCCACTTATACTCCAGAATCAACCCAGGGGGAGACGGGGCTGGGCGTGTTTCCATTTCAAGATCACCTCCACTTCCAGAAGGCAGAGAAGTGCCTGAGAGCCACCTCACACCCACGGGAGCCACGGCCTGGGCCGTGCACCTGGGTCAGGGGGGTGGGGCTCACCTGGCGGTAGGTGCAGATGATGATTTCCCGCAGGTGGTAGTGCATGGGCGTCATGGTCTCACTGACAGTGTCCAGCGCTGCATCTACCTCTTTCTTCACGCGGTGCCCATCAGGCAGCAGCTGCACCACCTTCATCACCACCTGGGGCCAGAGGAGAGGGGCTGAGCAGAGAGAAAACTAAGGGGGGCAAGGGGAGCCTCCTGCCCCAGCAACAGGCTCACCCCACACTAAGGGCCACCCCGGCCTCCAGCTCAGGCCCGGACCACAGAGACCTACCCGCCCTAGTTCTCAGAGGAGCGTGGGGAACAAGGGGGCTCCCGGATATCCTAAGGTGTTCATTTTTCTATGCAATAGAAACCTTACTTCAAACAAAAGCTGATCAAGAATTCTCATCTACAAAACAGCTGTGTAACGGGGGCTGGTGGGGTGAGGTGGGGTATCTGATGAACCTATATTGGGGACCAGTTGATTCCGCTTTCACCCTGTAGCAGTCCCCAGGCACTTCAGGGACACCTGGCTATGGGTGCCCATGGACAGCCAGCTGCTAAATGAACCAAAGGGCAGAAACCTGGCCTAACTCTTCTCTCCATTTGGCCGTCACCTGCACACACGGCCTATCGTCCTCATCTCCACGACTGGGTCAATAGCAGGACCATCGGGAGAGGGGGCTCTCCCCCACTCCAGTGTTTCTCAGCAAGGACCAGCCCAGGGCTGGCACACCAGCAGAGATGGAGTTACAGGCAAGAGAGGTCCCCATAACCTGGGAGAACTTGGCTAATGTGGCTCAGGCCTCAGAGAGGCGGCTGCTCAACCTACACCCTGGTTCTAGGCTCTGGGTCAACACCTCGCTTGAGAGGAGTGCAGACCCCAGGCAGGTCCCCAGGAAGGAACTGTGCCCCACGGGGAACTCCCCAGGCAGAAGGCTGAAGCTTCTTCAAACTAAATGAACTGAATTTCTAGCCTCTCCCCGAAATTGCTCCTCCCTGTGAATTCTTCAGCTCCTTAGCTATCACAACCTCCAGCCAGAAACCCGGAGGTCATCCTGGGTGCCCTCTTAGCCGGTGGTCCCCAAGATCCACCAACGGGAACTGAACTTCTCCTTGCCAGGCGGCACCCCTCCTCTCCATTCCCCCCTCCACACAATTGGCCCCCCAGAATGAGTCTGATCACAACCTTCTCCGCCTCCCTGCTGGCCTCAAGGTGTAGGTCAAACACACAGTGTGTCTCTCCAGGGTCCTCACAATCTAGGTCCCCCCACCTCAGCCCCACTTCCTTTCATTCTAGCCAATCACAGTCTTAAACAGCTCCTGCCCTTTCCAGACCCCTGCCTTGGCACACTTGACCTCCTCGGCACACTTCTCCTTCTCACCCAGCGAACTCACTCATCTTTCTAAAAAGATGCACTCAAATGTCACCTCCTCCATGAAGCCCTCCTAGGCTCCCCCAGCTGCACCCTTGGCCCTCAGAACCGATATCTATTCTAGCAGTCTTCACACTCTATTGGGATGCTCCCCACTAGACTGTGGGCTCAATAGGCCCAAACGAATTGCAGAGGAAGCCGATGATCTAGACTGGAGAATGTCCTGGGGTGGGTGAAGACGGGTATCGGAGCATCTTCAGGTCAAATAATGTAACTTTGGAACACAGGCTCTGAGGTCCACTACCTGGCTTGTACCCCAACCCCATCACCTCACTAATGTGGCTCTAGGGTGAAGAGATTAGCTCCCTGTGCCTCAGTTTTCTCATCTGTCCACTGGGAGTAGCAAGGGTACCTAACTCTTGCGGGCTGTAAAGGGTGAAGAAGGGAGTGCACATAGCGCTCCTAGCACAGGGCTGATAGTGAGTAAAGAGAGTTCTAACTAGCACATCTGAGGGGCTGACATGAAGAATAGGAATTCGACTTGGAACTAAACCCTTGCATATATGGTCAAATGATTTTTGACAAAGATGCAAGACCATTCCATGAGGGAAAGGGCATTCTTTTCAACAAACAGTGCTGGGAAACTGGATGTCCACATGCAAAAGAATGGACTTGGACCCTTACTTTACACTATGTACACAAATTAACTCAAAATAGATCAAAGGCCTAAATGTAAGAGCTAAGACTATAAAACTCTTAGAAGAAAACACAGGAAAACCTTCATGACTTCAGAGATATGACACCATAAGCATAGGTGACAGAAGAAAAAATAGACAAATTGAACATTAAAATTTAAAACTTCTGCATTAAAGAACACTCTCAATAGTGTAAAATGGCAACCCACAGAGAGGGAAAAAATATTTGCAAATCATATATCTGATAGGGATTGCTATCTAGAACACAGAATTCCTACAACTCAACAATGACCAAAGAACCCATCAAAAATGGGCAAAGAACTTGACAGACATTTTTCCGAGACAATATACAATGGCCAAATAGCACATGAAAAGATGCTCAATGTCATTAGTCATTAGGGAAATGCAAATCAAATCAAAACCACAATGAGATACCATTTCATACCTACTAGGATGGCTATTATCAAAAAAAAAAAAAACAGAAAACTACAAATGTTGGCAAGGATGTAGAGAAACTGAAACCCTTGTGTTTTGCTGATAGAAATGTACAATGGTGCAGCTACTATGGAAAACAATACGGCAGTTTCTCAAAAACTAAAGAGTTACCATATTATCCAGAAATTCCACTTATGGAATTGAAAGCAGAGGCTCAAACAGATACTTGTATGCCCGTGTTCATAGCAGCATTATTTGAAATAGCAAAAAGGTGAAAATAACCCAAGTGTCCATCAACAGATGAATGGATAAACAGAATGTGGTCTGTATATATACAATGGAGTATTATGCAGCCTTAAAAGGAATTGAAATTCCAATGCAAGCTCAACACGGATGAACTTTTAAGACATTATCCTTCATGAAATATGCCAGACACAGAAGGACAGATACTTATTATAAGTACTCTAAGTGATTCTACTTATATGCAGTATGTAGAATAGTCAAATTCATAGAGACAGAAAATAGAACAGTGGTTACCAGGGGTAATGGGAGTTACTGTTTAATAGGTATAGTTCATTTGGGGTGGTAAAAAGTTCCGGAGATGGATGGTGGTGATGGCTGTACAACAATAACAAGGTACTTAATGCCACAGAATTGTACACTTAAAAATGGTTCAAATGGTATATTTTGTAATATACATTTTACCATAAAAAAAAAAGAAAGAAGGATCAGCAAATCAACCAAGGAGGAAGGAGAGAAGAGGCCCAGGGTGAGGAGAAAGCATACGCAAAGGCCCGGACGCGGGCTGGCAAGTTTGAGGGCCGGCGTGGAAGCCGGGGTAGCAGGACAGCAGGGGAGGGCAAATGGTGAGACTGGCCAGGTAGGCAGGCGCCAACCATAGCACCCACACCTGGCAGCCACATGCCAACCCTGAGCTCCACATTCCCCACCTGTAAGAGGAAGATATTGCCACCTACTTGCAAGGTGTCTGGGAAGACGACACGTGGCAGGTGCATAATACATGGGTGACTAAATTGGAAATGTCAGTGGCTGTCTATCCAGTGCTCTGGACTGAAATGGGGGTGGGGTGAGGCAGGCCAGGGCCCTGCACCAAAGTCACCAGCCACAACTAGGTCCCAGGTGCCTATGAGAGGGTTGTTGATGCTACCCAGATGAGACAGTGGCCAGTGGCCTCCCCCAGGGCACGTAGTCGCTAGCCTAGCAGCAGGGTTAGGCAGGGTGAGGAGGGTCCAAGCCCTCATCTCCAGTGGTCATCTGCCAGGGTCCCAGAGCCAAGCTGCCCCATGCCTCGGTTTGCTCATCTATGAAATGGGTGCAGAGAAGCACTAATGTGATGAGGTAGAAGAAGGCAACAGCATTGCGAAGAGCTTTGAAGATCCCCAGCAAGACAAGCCCTCTCCTCTCCCCCAGGCGTCCCCTGGGGACCCCACAGGGCATGCTCACCTCAAACTCCCCCATGGTGAATTTGGCATCAGGCACACTCACGAGCTCTTCCTCGCCCACCTCGGGAAAGCCCTGATGGAGAACAGATGGGGAGCACTCCTACCCAAGCTGTACGTCTCCCTCATGCCAGGAGCCCCTTGCCAGGGGTCTGCCAGCCCCACTTGTCCTCTGCCCAGGACTGATGGGAGGGACTCTGAGACCACACCAGGCATCATCTCTGCCCCACAGTCTCCTGAAATAGTGTCCCCCGGGACCGAGTGCCCACCCTGCCTGGGCAGACCCCTATCCTCACAAGAGACCACACATACTCGGATGTGCCAGAAGGCGAGCACAGCCACCACCATGGCGGTCGTGGTCCGGCCCTGGCCGCTGAGGCAGCTGAACACAAAGCCGGTGCCCGCATCCTTGGCGAGGGCAGCCCGCAGGACCTCAAGCAGCCGATCAAAATCCTGTGTGGAGAGACCAAGGTCTGAGTCAGTGGGTGCTCCTGGCTGCAGACTCTGGAGGTGGCTCACCCCTCAAAAGGTAGTGTTCACCCCAGGACAGGCTCTGTGTCAGGCTCACAACCTGTATACACACACTCAACTCACTGCAGTACACACAAGACCATGTCTGTGTAAACAGCCCCACCCCTGTGCACAGCATAACCTCCACCCCGGGTCCAGAACTGGGCATTTGAGCAGACACACACACACACACACACACACACACACACACACACACACACACATCTGGGACTCCTGTTGCCCACCGTCTATCAGGCAGAACATGCACATGTGTACACACTCTCATGTGCTGCACCCCCAGGCTATGCAAGGACCCCCTGCTCTGCTGCCTCCTAAGATGAACCCAACCCAGGTCCCCCACCCTGAGGGCAGTCTCGACTTCAGCGGATCACTGCAGTGTGTGGCCACGAGGGGGCGACAAACTATGAGCAACCAGACCCACAGAGCAAAGTAAGGCAAGAAATCCAAGCCCAAGCACCACCTATCACAGGGAGCACTAATATTACAGGCCCTGCACGCACCCTGCACACACCCACACAGACATATCACCCAAACAACAGACAGATCACACAGGCACACAGCGACCTACACACAACACATGCCAGGCACACACACCACACAGATGTATCCACATATCTTAAAGACACATGCTACAGACACCCACTGACATGTATGTCACAAACCTACAGATATGACACACACACACAAACACCTTCAGTCACACACAGCATCCCACAACACCCTCCTCCACAAACCCCATACACAAACCACACCACATAACTCCCCAAAAGATACTCTCCACACTTACACTCTAGTAAAGATATACATCACAGATGCCATAAAAATACATGCACCACACACATATACACACTCCACAATGACACCCACACCCATGCTAAACAGTCTCCCAAGAGACACACATATACCACAAACACCATGGACATGCTCACCTCCCCGTATACACCTAAGCACATAATAAATACATGCGCACGTGTGCGTGTGCAAACACCAAGCTTGGAAGGGATGTAAATAAACCACCAAATCTGAACCCCTGTAGAACAAGCTCCCAGTCCCTCAGCAGGGCCGTGCCCATAGCCTAGGCCCAGGCCAGAGGGGAGGCGGGCAGGCCTCCTCTCCCTCCCCAGAGGCCTCGCCTACCTGGCCCCCTCACCTCCTCGCGGGGGGCACAGAAGTCTGGCATGGGAATGCGGTGGTAGGTGAGGCCGGGGCAGGCCCTGCGGTGCCGGCTGAAGACTTCCTGCATGGTGAGGCACGTCTGGAACCTGTGGGTCCGTGGGCCCTCCTCACCTGGGTGAGGCATGCTCAGGTGGGCCTTCAGCTGGGTCTCCAGGTTCTAGGGGAGGGGGGGACAAAGGGCACAGGCCACTGAGGCAGCCTCTAGGCCAGTCCTGAAAGACCAGAGCCTGCAACGGCCAGGACCAGTCCTCGCTTCCAGGCCCATGCCTGCCCGTTCCTGAGCCTCGGGTCATAACCAGACCCGGAGCCAGGCAGGTGGCCACAGGGCGAGTCCTGAATCAGCCACTCCCCGAGATTGAGCCTCTTGGGGCCTCAGTTTCTCCATCTGTAGAATAGGAGCATGGGACCTTCTAAAGACCCTCCCAGGCCAATTCCCCAGGAGGCCTCCAAAGTATGGGTGCATAGAAGGCAGAAGAGCCTCACCTCCAGCTGGTCAGCTGTCATGGGGGGCCCATGCCACCGCAGGCTGTGGGTGTGCCCATCACACTCCAGCACAGCCTCCTCTCTCAGGTTGACCCAAACAACCTGCCGCAGCTTCCTCTTGGCATCCGTCAAGTAGGCCAAGATACTCCCCAGGGCCTGGGGGGATAGGAGTGAGGTCAGTGAAAAGACTCACCCTCCCCTCCCCCCACCCCACAAGTGGACCCAGGTCACCTTGGCACTGGGCTGGGCTGTGCCATAGATGGGCATTCGGGACACCCGCCGGAAGTTGGCCACGTCCATCTCTCTGACGGTGCTAAGTGCATCTGGGGAGATGAGGTCATCCGCCCCCTGTGGGGGAGAGCGGCCACTGAGAGGTTCAGAGCCGGCCCCAGGGAGCCAGGGAGGGTCAGGACCAGCACTTCCCAGTCTACAAAGCACTGCTGCACACCGGGAGCTTCATCACATCCCTGGCAAGGAGAAGGGCGACGGTGCCCCCTCTCCAGACGAGGAAGCTGAGGCTCAAAGATGAGAAGCTTGTGGCAAAGACCCTAGAACCCCTTCTCCAGATTCCCTGCCCAGAGTGCTTGGGTTTGAGACTGAGGAGAGGGGGCCAGAACAGAGGCAAAAGCCGCACCTGCTTCCTGAGGCCTGCCAATGACCCCGTTACGCTCACAAGAAGATTCCGCCAACCCACAGGCTGTCGTCACCTTTGCCTCCTGCTAGGGCGATGCTTTACCCAACCCCACAGGCACCAAGGGCCAGCCCCACGCACTGCCACTTCCCCAGCCAGCCGACCACACTCACCAGGGAGCCCTGGGCGATGAGAACCCCAGGGGCCACAGGCCCTGCTGAGCTCAGTGTCACAGGCAGGCGGTACAGCTCAGGGTGGGCACACAGCCAGCGGCTGAAACTGAGGGCAAAGGCCAGCGGGTACTGCAGCCCGAGGCAGAGAGAGACGGAAGTTCAGCGGCACAGGGCCACCCTGAACTCTCCCTGCCTGCCCCAAGAGACATCCATGACGGCCCCGGGTGGGGGTGAGGGGGTGGGGAGCAGGGACCAGGACATCTGAGGCAAGATCCTTCTGGGCCCCGATGCCCTGGCTCAGCGTACAGAGACTGGGGCCAGCGGAAAGAGCTGGGGTCTCCTTTTGCCAGAACTGTTCCCTCTGTCTGGCTCTTTCTGGCTCTCTCTTTACCTTCCCCATACCTACCTTTCTCTAGAACCAACACCCGTGTCCCCACCCTACTCCCCAGCTCCACAGGGATCCCTGATGACCCCATGCCTGTCACTGTGGTGGAGAGGCTGGAGGGATCCCAGGAGAAGGGACGTGAGTCCATTTAACCCCAGGCCCCACCTGCTCATGGAGATAGTAGTTAAACAGGATCAGGTAGAAGTACTGCTCCAGGCTCTGCAGCGCCTTCTGCCGGACACTGTGCTGGCTGTTGTGTCCCTGAGAGAAAAGGACCAGGAGGGAGAGCGGGGAGGTAAAGATGGTGCTGCCAGGGCTACCCAGTCCCCACCCCAGGGAGGGCAGGAGTTAAGCCTCAGAAATCCCCAGAAGACAATCTGCTCCCCCGCTCATAACACAGTTCTGCCAGGCTGGAAGTTCTTCCAGGCATCTAACCCTACCCCATTTGCGGCAGACAACCCCATGGTTCAGGGAGAGCTATGGTGACTACAACAGGCACTCCAGTTTTTGGTGCAGGGACTGCCTCCCCCATAGGGTCTAAGCCCAGAGACAGGCTGGGGCTCCCCGCTTTGCTCCAACGCCACCCACCATGCAGGGCAATATACCCCTCTGTGTTGCAGCAGCAAGTGTATCAACACCCTTCCCTGAGCCAGTGACCCTCCCTACAAGAAAACAAAAAGACCCTCAAGACAGGCTCCAAGGGGCCATAATCATTACTCCTACATCACAGGGGGTAAATTGAGGTTCAGAGTAATGAACTGACTTGCTCAAAGTCCCACAGCTGACGGCAAACAGAGCTGGGTCCCCAAACAAGTGTCCTAACCCCAGCCCAGCATCCTCTGGGTGGGGGCTTATCAAAGAAGGGATTAATCCCTAGAGTCCCTCTTTCAGCCTTCAGATATCAGGGTTCTCTGGCTGGGTCAGTACTGCCCTCCGGAGGGCAAGGCAGATCGGTATAGGCCCAAAAGAAAGGTCACGCTCTTCGATGACGTTTCATTCCATCTTTGGGAATCTAGGCCAACAAACTTTTATTTCTATAAAAGGCCAAACAGTAAGTGTTCTAGGTTTGTAGACTACATGGTCTGTTTCAGCCGTTCAACTCTGCCACTGCAGCGTAAGAGAGGCATAGACAGCACAGCAATGAATGGGTGAGACCATGTCTCAGTAAAACTTATTTACAAAACAAGTGGCAGGCTGCATTTGGCCGGTGGGCTGTAGTGGGCCAGCTCCTAATCCAGACAAAGGGACAAAATTCGAACTGCACAAAAGCCTCATTTTCATGAAGCTGTTTGACGTAAACGTGTTCACAGTGCTGAGAAACTGGAAGTGACTCAACTGTCCAACAGGAAGGGGCCTGTTCAGTAAATCATGGCAGGTTACATGCCAGGAACACCTGCCCTGCGTCAGGCACCCTTCCAAGTCCTTTATGGGTCTTCTCTGACCTACTCCTCACAACAACCCTATGGGATTGTCATCATTAGTGGCCCCATGTTGCAACTGGGGCAACGAGGCACAGAGCAATTAAACGGGGTATCCACGTCCATACACCTGTAGGGGGCAGAGCCTATGACCGGAAACCAGGCACAACCCACACTCTTAACCTATCAGGTCAACGATGGATAAACCACACAACAGGCTTCAGTTACACAACCAGGAGAAATCTCAATGACGACAACCAGGTGTGGACACGGGAAAGACAAAACAAAATAAGTAGCACGCAAACGGCATGCTTGGGTAACCTCGCAATTACATCATAAACATGAAAAATGAAAGAAGTCATCCCCACATGCTCAGCTGGGCTGGGACTATAGGTGATTTTTTCCTTCTCTAATTTCTCAGCTTGCCATATACGACATTGCTTTTAGAAGATTTTTTTTAAAAGAGTTAAAGAAGGAACAGGCTCTGCAGGCTTTAGATTCTTTCCATGCGCTGTGTGCAAACACTGTCAAACCGCCCTCCTCTCCCCAGAGCGTGGGGACAGGCCAGCTGAGACAGCCCAGAGCCCATCACTCTTCCAGAAGCAGCAGGCTGGATCAAACCCCAGCCTTCCCAAAGAAACACCAAGGGTTTTCTTTGCAGGGGGAGCCATCAGCGGTCTGGGAAGCATTTGGATCCAGAGGCCTCAGCACCCCACCAGCAGCCCCTTCCTCCATCCTGTTTATTCTGCAGCGAGGGGACCTGGCAGGGAAAGTAAACTTCCCCTCTTCCTCGTCCGTCCTTCCTGCAGGCCCAGCTCCCCTATCCACCCTGTCCTCTGAAAGCCACTCCTCTTGTAGGAGAAGGAACACCCCAGGAAAAGCCAATCTGAAAGAAGCCAGTCAACAGGCCTAACGAATGAGGCCGCAGGGCTGGCGCAAAAGCAGAAGCTCTCCATGCCTCACCTGGGCTGGGCTCTCGGGCCGGATGCCTTCCAGCTTCCTCTGGTTTTCCAAGGCTACTTCCTTCAGGTCGTGCAACTCAGCACAGGCCGTGATGGCTCTGTCCACCTGGCGCCAGGGACCAAGGCAGAGGAGGGGGAAGAGCAGTGGGAAAGGAGCAGAGCCAAGGAAAGAGAAGATGGTGGGAGGTCAGGTAGAAGAAAAGAGAGGGGTGGGACGGGGGGAGGGAGGGAGAGTGGGGCGCAGAGAGAGAGAGAGAGAGAG